AGGAGATCTCTTGTGCACTATTGATAGGATGGAAAGAGCGTAGCCTTTATGGAAACCAGTGTGGCATATTTCTCAGAAAACTAATACAGAACTATAATATGACTATTCGAGAGTACATACATGAAGGAAACACAATCAGCACACAAAAGAGGTTCCTACTCATTGATGTTTATTGTGGCTCTATTCACAATAGCCAAAATACAGAGTCATCTAATGTTCCCACCGATGGACAAACAGAAAACGGAAGTGTGGTAACACAGAAAAGAAAGGAAGGCGTCCTGCTGGTGGCAACACAGATGGAACGCAAGGATATGCTAAGTAAAATGAGCCAGACACTGAAAGACAAATATTCTATTCTCTTGCTCATCCTTAGAAGTGCTAAAATCTTTTTATTTCATGGAAGAGTGGAATCATGGTCAGCCAATGCTAGGAAAAGTAGAACAGAAGTAGGCTAGAGGAAGTTCAGATGCAGTTACCCAAATATTATTGCAAAGGGGGAACAGGCCCTTTCGTTGTCCTGAAGTGCTGAGGATTAAGCCAAGAGCCTCACAAAGGCTGCTAAGTAAACGGTGCACCACCACGTTACACACCTCAGCCCCAGGAGAAACAGGTTTTGTTGTTCTACAGCATAACCGGTGTGATTATATTTTACAGCAGTTTATTATAAAGTTTATAAGAACTAGAAAGTAGGAGTTCATAGGTTTCCAGTACACAGAAACAATAAATATTTTAGGAGATGGAAATTCTAATTAATTGGCTCATTACACATTGGACAGTATATATCAGTATGTAGTGAATTATCACACTGTGCCACAGAAATATGTGCAAATATTTTATGTTAATTAAAAATCCTTTATCAAATACATAAGGAAATGGACCTCAAAACAGACGTCCAGGCTGGGAAGTAAAATTGGAAATAACTGGCATAAAAATCGTATTTAAAAGCGCAAGCATGAGTGAGACTACATAGGGAGCAAGACAAGAAGAGAAGAGAGCAAGGGCTGTCCCTTAACTGCAGCATTTCTCTTCCTTTTGTTAAAATCTGATTTTTCTGTTTCTTCCTATCCACAGGAATACACACAGCATCTCTGCAATTATTCCCTGCGAAATCACAATCAAAATCTGCCTGGCCTGATAAGGTTCTACTTATCGGTCTCATCTCCCCTGCTCTAAGGGGAAGTGTTTCCTTCTCCTATCATGACAGAACTCACAGCACACCTATCACGTCCAAACCTACAGGCCAACAGCCCGGACCACAGGTGGGAAGTGAAGAGCAGCAATTTACCGCAGAAAGAGAAAGGCTTTGCTTGCCTTTGTAAATGGATGGACAGTAGCCTTGTGCTGTTTTGCATCTTTGAAAGCCTAAAATTGACTTCTTGTTGGATGGAGGGGAAATCGAGTCTCCTCATTTCATTGTTAGCAGTTGCCCTCAAGGGTCCTCGTGCATTTTAAACTTTGCCAATACATCCCCTAAAAGAATATCCATAATCTCGGGCAAGAGAAAAACAATGATTAACAAAAATAGGCAAAGTGCACCGGTCCAGAATATAACAAAAGTGATATGAAAAAGTGACCAAACAAGAAAAAATGGGAGCAGCTATTTTAAGAAAAGTCATAAAGGGTCACAAAAACATGTTCACTGCTTATCTTTGATCCAAAACCTTTCCTCCAAAAGAAAATACCTGGTCAGAAGCTATATAAAGAGCTACATTCTTTATCTAATCATTGTGATGCCTCCTTCACTTTCTAAATTTAGGCGTTACAAAGTACATTTGTCAATGCTACAATTTTTACTGTGTATGTTGAACTCTAGGATTTCTTAAAATCATAACAGAAAATTCTCTATACCATAGCATACTTTTGCTCTGATTTTAAGAGCGAAGTGTCCATCAAAAGCCGTATTTCAGAAGACTAGCTTTCTCTGGAAATTAGTAGAAAACTATTTTAGTAGAGTTTCTGTGTACAGTTCTCCATCTATGTTTATAGTCAGTTTCATCTAGACACTTGACAGGAAGAATAAGCTCTAAGCTAAAAATGCTATTATTTAAATGGCATTCGGTCAACTCTGGTTTGTCTATTTTCTTTCACCTCTGGTTTTCCTTTATTAGTTTCGTAAGATAATTTAACACTTATGTCCTAAAACACATTAAGGGAAAAAGAAGAAACTAATTAATTGACATATAGGTGTCGATCACAGAGGAAACAGTTTTAAGCAACTGATTACAGCAAGTTTTAAGGTTACCTAGCAGGGTATATATTTTAATACAGTTCTTGTTCTCATCTTCCTCTGACAAGTAACTGAAATGAAACTATGGCACTCAAGTTCATCGGCAGTATGAAAATATACAAATATGCCTTATTTCATAAAGTCAATAGAATAGTAAAATTAATGAAAGAATATGGAATGGCTGAATTCTTAATACCTCCAAGGGTTTAAAATTCCAGTTGTTACTGAATCTTCCCATCTTATTCTTGAATTCTGCACCATCCGGGACACTACTCCAGATAACCATTAAACGCACCATCAAGTAAAGCAATTAAAAGACTCAACCTATCCTTCATATATTTAGATTGAACAGTAAACTGTTGACAACTTGACAGGCGCCAAAGCTGAAACCTTAGCCTCCCCCTCAGATTGGTTATATTTTATTTTTAGATGTAATCACCTCCCTCCGGAAAATGGTTAGTGACCACAAGCGCAGGTCTGCGCAAGGAAACTAAAATGGGAACCTGGCACCGTGAATCAGACACACAAGACAGGAGAGAAGAGCCACCCCCGGCCCCTCACCATCACACGCATCCATAATCCCTTTGACAATGCTGCGTTGACGTTTTCAATGAATGCCAGCGAGACCTGAACCGAAGCAATTTCCACGGCACGTTCCGCATGCACTGCTTTGTGAGCGCCTTCGACCAAAGGGCATGGTAAAAAGCAGCTCGAGTTTGTCATTGATTTCCTGTAGTCCTACATGGTGTGTGAGTCTGGTTAGAACTCAGATTAATTTTAAATGCGTGTTCTTAGGAAAATCTCTCAGAGGGATTAATTCAATAAAGCTACCAGGACCAGAATATATGTGTTTTGGCGGTCCTTTATACACTATTACTCGATTAAGGAATCGAGACAGCAGATACAAAAGCTACAAAAGCAAAACATTTAGGGGGACTCCGGGGTGGGGAAGCTCAGTTAAGTGAGATGATTGGGTTCCAGAGAGATGCTGTAATCACCATGCCGTGGTTAATAATATTCTATTTTCGTACATCAAGACTTTGTCAGGAGGACAGATGCCATGTTAAATATTCTTCCCCAGTTTAAAAAAAATTACTAACGACAAAACGTCAACTAAAACACTGAAGAGAAAATAAGAGGAAACTAGTGGGACAAAATGCAAGACAGTCAGCTGAGGAAGAAAGAGACATGAAACGTCCGTCAATTACTCCGAGGGTGAGGGTCTGTCCAAGAGCTCCGCGGATCCGGTCTGCAGTAAGTCCACCCGGGAGCTCCTTAAAGAAGTAAGGGACCACATCCCTTCCGGTCTAACCCATGTCCTGGGACTCGCTGAATGCAACAGGAAGGCATCAATGCCTCAGCTGATTCTCGCTCTCACTAAAACTGGAGAAGCATTTACAGAGCCTTCACATCACCCAGAACCTTGACCACACAACCTGGTGTGCCAGAAACCCCAGTCCCACGCATCTGAAGGGTCACCCTCCTTGAAGTCCGTCCTCCCACTTAGACCGCAAAGCACATGACTTACAAGGAGACTCACATTTACAAGGTGGCAACATCATCGGAAGAAACTTCCCTGCCTGTGTACTTTTTCAATATAGCCAGAGTTGTTATGGTCCGTGCTTTTTCATTTCTCAACAAGTAAAGTCTTTTCCCCCAGAGTTGCATGACATCCACAGGATATCATTTATAGAGTCATAGAATATTTAAATGTTCATGTGGATTGTTTTAAGAAAGGCATCCCCTGCTAAACTAGTGTGAAATCTTGAAGACATGAAACTCTGAAGGACTAAAGTTTGTTAAATCTTTATATAAAGATTTATAAGTCTTTATAAATAGTTTGTTAAATCTTGATAAATCTTTATATGTTTATTTGATGTGTCTTCAAACTGTGTCTAGCTAGGTGGCTATACCTGTTACAATTACTAAAGGAATGTTCAAAAGAATAAATAAATACAGTAAGATTCAACCAGGGAATACAGATCAGTGTGAGAACGCATTACATGTGGTCGTTTTTCACAGGAGAATTGAAGCGTTCCTTTCCTTAGCAAATATCTTCCTCAGTGTGTCTAATTCAACTTTGTGATATGAAGTACACCTAGGTCAGTAGTTTACACATACTAAATGTTCAACAACAGCCTTCCAAAGTGATCACATCCAGCAATTAATTTTAAAATTCGGAGATGTAAACAAATGTTTCAAATGACTTTTAAGCCCTTGAAAAATATTTATAAGAAGATGAGTAAATTTAACAATTGCACATAAATATTGTACATTTCATTCAAAAGGTACTTGAAAGATCTGTCAACATTTTCTCTTTGTGTGAGACACTATGAAACTGACAAATAATTAAACTACATTTCTCTTTACATTTCCTATTCCATTTCCCTTTCCCCTAATTAAGATTACATATGTCCTCATTAGTCCTAATTAATGATGAGTTTCTGTACTTACAATTTAAACAAGTAATTATTAAAGGGGAAAAATGAGAGTACCACAGATGTGCAAACACAGACACACACATTATATTTGTAAAAGTGACGGGAAGGAAAAGCTAGACAGATAAATCACGTGTAATGTGGTCACTTTTGGTAGTTTTTGATGAAATTATGCGAAGGTCAGTGGTAGAACACATGAATCCTAATTATTCTATTCTGGTAGATCTAATCCACAGCCTCTTCAACCTTAATGCAATTTGTTGTAATGATTACTTTAAATAATTTAAGGACTATAAATAACATTTGGCAATTGCACAAGTGGGTGGCCTAGATACCTGGCTTGTCCCTGACGGTCACAGAAGTGGAAGCAGGAAGCAGGAGCAGTGCCACCCAAGGCCAGAGTTTCCAAGAGTCCCTGTGCCTCATTGTGCCTCGAAACCACGTGAACGAGAGGCCACAGATCTGCAACAGAAAACAAACACTCAGACTGAGCATACTGTATTCCGCTATCTCATGTCCAGCAAATTCTCATGACCAAAACCAACAGATCTTTATGTTTTTACATTATATTCAATTAAATAACAAGATATGTGCTATTATAATACCATGTACCTGTAATTACATAGAATGTATCAATATATACCTTGATCTTTAGGGAACATCTTGGAAAGGATTTTCAGATTGTTTTGTAGTTAATTGTCATTATCAATACAGCCTCTTAACGATTTAAATTTTCTCTTTTAAATACTTCTAAGAATCCTTCCACTTATACTGTGTTATTTAAAAATTTTTAGAAAAATATGCATAAAATTTACATTTTAAACCATTGTAAGAGTACAAGTCAATGGGATTGAGTACGTTCACATTGTTGTGCAACGGTCACCAGCAGACATCTCTACAACTGCCATATTGCAGACCTGAAATGCTGTGCCCATTAAACAATAATTTCCCATGGCCTTCTCCCTCTTCAACTGGAACTTATTCTACTTTCTACTTCTATAAATTTGACTACTCTAGTTACCTCAAGTAAGTGTAATCATTCCAGCTTTGTTATTTTTTTATTTCAATAATGATTTACAAGTTTATCCATGTTTTAGTATGTATCAGAATTCTCTTCCATTTTTTAGACCAAATTATACTCCATTGCATGCAAATAGCACATTTTATTTATCCATTCCTCCATCGACAGGGATTGAAGTTCCTCCCATCTTTTGGTTGTAGTGAGTAATGATGCTGTGAACACGGATATGCAAATATCTATGTGAGTCCCCATTTTCAATTATTTTTGATATGAACCTAGATGTGAAATTGCTAACTCTACTTTTAATTTCCCGAGGAAATGCTATATTGTTTTCCACAATACTTGTGCCATTTTACATTCCCACCAACAATGCACAGTTTCCAATTTCTCCATTTGTTCCCAAAGAGCTATTTCCTTCCTTCCTTCCTTCCTTCCTTCATTCCTTCTTTATTTCCCCCACCCTTTCTTTCTTTCCTTTCTTTTTTTTTTTTTCTGGTATAGGGGATTGAACTCAGGACCTTGTGCTTTCAAGGCAGGTGTAGGGCCACTGTGCTAAATCCCCAGCCTTTACCTTATTTTCTTTCTTTTCTATAGATTCCATACCGCTAGGTGTGAGATGGTGTCTCATTGCAGTTTTGATTTGGAGTTCCTCAATATCAGTGATGTTGGGCATTTCCCATGTGCATATTGGCCATTGGTGTATCTTCTTTGGAAACACACCTACACAAATACTTTGCATTTCTTCATCTGGTTGCTCATTAGTTAGTTAAATTGTAGGTGTTCTTTGTATGTCCTGGAGATTAACCCCTTATGAACTTATAATTTGCAAATATTTTCACCAATTCCATGAATTTTCTTTTCACTCTATTGTCTGTGTACTTTGATATAGAGAATATTTTTTATTTTTATATAGTTTATTTTTTTTCTTTTGTTGTCCCTTTTTTTGGTGTCATCTACAATGATTCACAATAATAAATATAATTTTGTTATTTGTAATTTTGTTTTCTCTTCTGAAAATGTTTTACATATTTTGCCTTAAATGATGTCATCGTAAGTTTAACTATGTTGTTGCTCATTTAAATAATTACTGCTTCTAGAGTGATTTCTGAACATGTGAAAAGTAATCTTTCATTCCATTTAAAGAGGAAAATGGATCTAGGTAATGCCTACTTTGCTTGAGCCTGCTACTGCCATCCTATTTAACATTGATGTGTTACCTCCTGTGGTTGTCTTTCTACTCTACAGGTATTACAATAAAATATTTTATAAATAAAATCCCTATAATGGAAAACTTTAGTATCATTTAATCAATTTTATTGTAGTAAAGTAACTAAAAAGGAAATAAATGAGAAGTAAAACCATGTCTCCCTTGGTGTATTTGACAATTATGGTAATATCAGAATAGCTATTCAAGAGTTCTAAATATGCAAATACACGTTCTGCCACTTACTTATGATCATTCAAAGTTTAATGTAGCCTCAAGTACAAAAGAATTAATCGTACCAGTGACTAAATTCTGTGAGAATTAAATCTTTTTAGAAAAACTAAAGCCACCATCTTTGGTATTCTACATGTTCCAAATGCCCTGCAATCAGCATCTTAAAATTAATTCAAGATTTTAGATGCTTCTGGATGAATAGCTGCAAGCAGCCCCCACAATATTAAAACCGAATGTGTGGTTCTAAGTAGCAAACAGCTAATTGTATGCCTTACATCTTTCGAATTTCCTCATCCACCTGCAGTCCCAATCCTCACATGACTTTGCAAAGTTATCCTAGCTCTTATTTCACGTCAGCCGGTAAATGTTTAAGAAATTAATTCTATTTCAAATAAATGAACTAAAAATATTCACCTAATTTTCAGAGAGACCTGGGATTCTATCTTTAACTGAAGTGATTCACATTAGTTGGCAAGTTAGTAACATAACACGGTTTCACACCTAGTCTCCAGCACTCATGAGCAGGCCAGGGAACTTTCTAAGCCTTAACTTACTCATCTACAAAGTGGGAATGCTAGGGTGTCATTTAAAAAATGAAAACTGTATGGTATGTGACTTCAAACTGCTAATTATTTTAAAGGTAGCTGTTATTATAATCGTTTGCTTTACATACTAATAAAAATGATTAACTTTACAAGTATACTTGTCTCTTCAGCCTGAGGCTGATTTGCTAGTTGAAAAACAAAGAAATGCCAAAGTACCGTAGAAATTTATAGTCACTAAACTATTGATTGCTGTTAGAGTAACAAAGAATGAGACATCTATAAAAACCAAAAGCATATGGATTTTTTTTTTGTTGTTTTTTGAGACAGGGTCTCACTACGTAGTTGAGACTGACCTGGAACTCACTATGTAGCCCAGGCTGGTCTCAAACTCACAGCCATTGTCCTGCCTCATCCTCTTGAGTGCTAGGATTACACGTGTGCGCCACCACACCCGGCTTCAAAAGCATATTGGTTTGATCCCAGCACCTCCTACCTCTCTCCCTGAACCCCTCAGAAGATGACAGCACTGGACTTAAACCTCATTTATCCAGTATTCAAAGTGTAAGATTTTATGGTTAGTTAACGAAATGTTCTAGCTTTTGAAAGACTGCCATTCCATCACTTCTGTGATACGTCTCTCACCAGCCTCTGCAAGAACTTGAGAATACTTTTCTCAGTGCCATTTCCGGTAGCTGACCGTGTCCTCCTTCCGTGTGCCCTCACTCTCGCTGGGCTCCCTGACTTCCCACGTCCCAGTCTCTCCTTCGTTTTACTGCCTGATCACTTACTAAGGGGATCTGCGGGCCCCTCCCCTCTTTCTCTCTGTAACGTCTCCCTGGGTGAACTCAACCTTCTCTTGGCCTTACAGAGTATCTGCAAGGTGACGGATCTGAAAGGTACATCTCTAGGGCAGGCCTTGTCTCTGAACTTGTCTCTGACTGTGCATCCAACTGTCCCTTCACTAGTCCCTGTGAGGATGTCACACAGATATCCGAAACTCAATCCAAATTAAACTCTTGATTCACAGCCACGCCTTGTTCCTCTTGTGCTCTTTATAACCTCAATAATTATCTCCCATTAAAATGCTTAAAGCAACAGTAGGTTTGATATTGTCATGGGTAACATGATGCCAGATGAGCATAAAGCATCAGCAATTATACAGGAAGAAACACTACATTTCGTAGTTCCGGGGATTGAACTCAGAATTGCGTGCTGAGCTACCTCCCCAGACTCTTTTTAAAACTTCATTATCTTGAAACAGGTTCTCACTAAATTACTAAATTCCCCAGACTGGGCTTGAATTTATGATCATCCTGGATCAGCCTTCAAGAATGCTTGGATTAAAGGTGTGTAACACCACGCCTGTCTAGAAAATGAATCTCTGCTACGCATGAAGGAACAAAGACTTCAGGGAAAGGTAGGCCTGGAATTGTGTATTCACCACTTTTCTATCTGTAGCGTCTAATGCCAGACACCCACTTCTTAAAGGAGTGGTTTATTTTTAGCTCATGGTTTCAGAGAGTTCAGTCCATGCATGGCCCGCTGGCTCCAAGGCAGAAATGCCATGGGAAAAGGACTTGCCAAATGAAAGTTGCTCAACCCATGGTGACAAAGAAGAAGAGAGAAGAGCAGAGACAGGAACAAGAATGCACCCTTTTAGGTCCCCTCCCAGTGATCACTTATGCCCATGCTATGCTTCCTAAAAGTATATTCAGGTACAAACTCCTTGATAAATTAATCCACTGATGAGTATAGTACCCCTATAATTTAATCACTTGCCAAAATCCCCACCTATGAGCATGAAATTTGGGGGCTACTTTAGGTCTAAATTGTAATAAATAATAATAAATAAGTAACATAAGTAATATGTATTCTTAATAAAACCTGAAGAATATGGTTTGCAAGGTAGTAGAGAAGATGAAAATGCTTGGAAATTTTTTGAGAACTTCTTACATTTGAAAGATTTACTCCAACCATCTTGCTTGAAGACAGTGAACAAAGTTGTTAAAATGAAGAGTTTAAGAAAGATGGTTCCAACCTTCCTACATATGTGGTAAAACGGATTATTAATATTTGTCTTCCTCTGTTTGGCTTGTTTAGCTTAACATGATGCCTTCTAGTCCCATCTATTTTCCTGAAAGTAACATGTTTTCATTCTTCTTTGTGGCTGAATAATACTCCATCATTTATAAGTACCATATTTTCTCTGTAGAAGGGCATTCAGGCTAGTTCCATATTTGAAAACTGCCACAATAAACACAGGCATGCCTGTAAATGTGCACTATGCGGAAATCAGAAGCCCAACCTTCTCACTGACTTTTCTGTCTTTCTTATGTCCATATCCCACATCTAAACTGTAAAGTCATGTTAGTGTCACCCCAAACACAGCTCACATCCACCAGTTAACCTCTTCTCCTCTGCTATTATCCCAGTTTAGATTATACTAGTTTAAACCCTC